AAGACTCCACAGCAAGGCACCCTAGGAAACCCTCTAGAGAGAGGCTGGCAGGCTTGGAGAGCAACTTGCCAATCACTCCTCATGGGCTTGTGCCCAAGAGCCTAAGGCTAGCTTTGAGCCTGGGAGTATCTAGGGCAATATCCCAGGGGATGCTGGCTGCCAACTTTGGCCCTGATACAGAAAAAAGATAACCTAGATGTTAAGCCAAGCAAAAGATATCGACTGTAGGAGCTTTGGTGAGGTGGGGGTGACAGGGTGCGTTGCTGTGGCTTCCGCAGTGTGGGAGCTATAAGAAGGACCAGTGCTTGCCCCTGGGCTTCGGAGGGCCCCCGAGGCTACCTCAGGCAATGTGACCTCTTCCTGGCTGCTTCCTCAACCTATGAGGGATGGACATGTGGATTGCCTGACAGTTGGAAGACCTTACTTGATATTCCCGTGTGAACCTGGGACAAGTCATTTGTTCTTTTAAAAGTTTGGTTTCTCACACCCCGGATTTCTTACTCCCCCAAATCCAAATACTTTATTTCTGAGTAATTTATGGGGTAAGCGACAACCTATGTAGTATACTTAAAGTCCCATGTGTCAGTCTGCATCAGAGTTGAGGAAAAATATGTGGGTACCCCTGACAGGCCACAGGTTAGAGGCTCCCTTCAAGCATTGTACTCTATCTTCCCGTTCAGTGTTTTTTAAATAGCAACTACGAGAAGCACGTTTCTATAATGTTCAAAATCAGAAATTTGTTCCAGGCACATTTCAACTTATTTGGAATTATCTTCATTTAACTTAAAATCATCAAGAGCTGGCCCTCCCTGATGGCGCAGCGGGTTAAAGCACAGCACTGAAAAGCTTAAGCCAGTTCCGCATGAGTTCGATCCCTGCCTGCCCAGGAGGAGGTCCACATGGTGTGGCAGACCTCTCCTGGCCTGCCCGCTGCTCCCCTCAGCAGTGTAATTCGTAGATCTGCCTGTTCTGCTCCCCACTCTGCTCCTGGTGAATCCTCTCACCCTCTGCATCTCTGGCCTGTACCCCAGTTCTGTATGAATAAATAAATCTTAAAAAAAAAATCATCAAGAGCTAGGCTTTCTTTACAATTGGAAAGATATGGAATCAATCCAAATACCCTGGATTGGATTAAAAAATCCAAATACCCTGACTGGATTAAAAAGATTCTTTACAATTGGAAAGATATGGAATCAATCCAAATACCCTGGATTGGATTAAAAAATCCAAATACCCTGACTGGATTAAAAAGATGTGGTCCAGGCCCTCCCTGGTGGCGCAGCAGGTTAAAGCACAGCACTGAGAAGCTAAAGCCACTTCCGCATGAGTTCGATTCCCGCCTGCCCCGGAGGAGATCCACATGGCGTGGCAGATCTCTCCTGACCCGCCCGCTGCTTCCGTCAGCAGTGTACTTCGTCAGTCTGCATGTTCTGCTCCCCACTCTGTCTCTGGTGAATCCTCTCACCCTCTGCATCTCTGGCCTGTGGCAGATCTACCCCAGTTCTGTATGAATAAATAAATAAATCTTTAAAAAAAACAAAAAATATGTGGTCCATATACACAATGGAATATTACTTGGCAATCAAAAGATAAACTCATGCCTTTTGCAGCAACAGGGAGCTGGAAGGGATCATGCTTAGTGAGATAAGCCAGAAAGAAAAAGAAAAATACCCAGAGCATAAAGGGCCATGGGGGAAAAATAATAATGAACAACTATAGAACAGAGACATTGTATGGGGGTGGAATGGGGGATGGGATGGGTCAAAAATGGGGTGAATGAACTATGGTGATGGCACAAGGGTGAATTGGTGGTGGGAAGCCCAGGGGGTTTACAACTGAGATGGAAAAAGGCACAAAATGATGTAAAAATAAACTATTATAATACCCCCCAGGCTCAATTGTATACATTTTCTGTATACAATACACCTCCTTAAGAAAAAATCATCAAGAACTAGATGTGAAAGGTTTGGTTCCTGGGTTTGCATCAAGATGAAAGGTTCTGCACAGTTAAAAGATGGAGAGTCAGATAAGTTTCTAACTTTATTGCAATCCTGGTGAGGTTCACCGATCCCCATGGGGGTGGGAGAAGTCTGCCCCCTGGGGAACATGGGGAAGCTTTTATAGGGCATGGAAGCTGCTTTTCAGAAACTGATTCATCAAGGCTGCTGCTTCTCGGTTCCCAAAATGCAGGCAGTCTCCAGACTTTAGGAGGCTCACGGTAAGGAGGCTCCAGGCTTGCAGACTGTAACAGCCCCAGAATCAAGGTTCCCGCTCCCAGCCTTGCCCAGCCTGTCTCGACCTTACAGACAGTATTAGTCACCCACACTTAACTAAATATGAATATAGTTATAAAATCTTTCAAATTATGCTTTAAAAAATTCTTTGCTGGTTGGCCAGATTGTTTTCACTTTTCTGTATTTTTTTTTCTGCCTTGTTTTTTTATTTTTTAATTTCCCAAGCCAGACATTTTCTTGGGAACAATTTTATATTTAGATAACGTGATAAAATATAGTATACTTCAGTAAACAGAACTATTCCGAGCATCCTCCAGCTTCTGTATTTTAGATGAAGGAGACAGGTAGGATTTGAGGAGACCAGCAGTTAGCTGACCTTGGGGTTCATGTGTTGCCTGTAATTATGTTGCAAAAATACCATCAGAGATAGGCTGGTGCCTGGGAGACCTGTTTTTAAATGTTCCCTGAAAGAGTGTATTTTCAGTAAACAATGACTATTTTGTAGTAATGTCTTGTGAGCAAAACCGAAATAATGGCACTGTATTTTTGAACATTTCAGTAATGTTTTTGTGACATTTTTGCTCCCTCAAACTTTCTTTTCTTTTTCTTTTTTAAAAAAGATTTATTCATTTATGCATACAAAAGAACTGGGGTACAGGCCAGAGGTGTGGAGGGTGAAAGGATTCTCAGAGACAATGGGGAGCAGAACACGTGGACTGACTGAAACACACTGCTGAGGAGAGCAGTGGGTGAGACAGGAAAAGTCTGCTGCACCCTGTGGGTCAGCTCCCTGGCTGGGGATCGCACTTGTGCTGCAGTGGCTATGGCTAGCTTAACCTGTTGTGCCACCAGGGAGGGCCCCATTTCAGTAATTTTAAAAAATATTTATTTATCTATGCATACAGACCTGGGGTACAGGCCAGAGGTGCAGGGGTGGTGAGTGGATTCACCAGAGTGAGAGCGGGGAGCAGAACAGGCCGACTGATGAAGTTCACTGCTGAGGGGAACAGCGGGTGGGTCAGAAGAGGTCTGCCGCTCCTTGTGGGTCACCTCCGGGGCGGGGATCGAACTCATGCTGAAGTGGCTTAGTGCTGTGCTTTAACCCGCTGCGCCACCAGGGAGGGCCCTCAGTAATGTTTTTATAGTCTCTGTAGATGGCCGGTGCTCTTGGTGGGCATCATCTGGGGACTTGAGGTGGGTCTATAGCCTTAGACAAAAACCTGAAGCCCTCTGAGCCTATTTCTCCTTATAAAATGGTGATAAAATCTATCTTGTTGGATTCATAGTGATAATATTGAAGTTGTAAATGAGGTGAGTGTTATTTGAAAGTATATATTATCGTATATTATATAATAAAGCATACAGATAATAATTAACAAGCAATTAACCTCTTTTATCAGTACACATGAAGAGTTTTATTAACAATGGTGCTGCTTTGAAGTTTGTTCTAGAATGCAAACCTGTTATAAAAGGCTAATTTCTCAACAGGTCTCACCAAAATAAAGTATAAGTAGGTGAGGTGATGGATGCTTGGTGGGAATCTGTCCACAATGGGTGTAGCAGTCATCAGTTGTACACTTTATTTTTTTAAGATTTATTCATGCATGAAAGAGCTGTGGGGGTGGTAAGAGGCTTCACCAGAGAAGTGGAGAGCAAATAGGCAGATCTACTGAAATACACTGCTGAGGGGAGCAGCGGGAGACAGGAGAGGTCTGTTTCGCCCTGTGGGTCCCCTCCCTGGCTGGGGACCGAACTTGTGCTACAGTGATTGCTGTGCTTTATTGTGCTGAGACTACCAGGGAGGCCCCAGTTGTGCACTTTAAATACCTTACAATTTTATCTATTATTCCTCAACAAAATGGGGGGGAAGGGCAATTTCTAGGACGGGCAGATACTCCGAGTGTAGTCTCTGCTTTCCAATACTATCAATGTCTCTGTGGGGGTATGCACAGCAGTCAGAGGCCCCAGCACAGGCTCTGGGCCAGACACACGTCGGAGGCTGCACTGTGACTTGGCCTTCCACTCTGTTAGCTCACATACAGGGCCTTGTCACATACGTGTCTCAAAAGGTCACTCTGGGCCCTGAACGCCGGTCTTTGAGAACCATTTGCAGTTCTCCAAAGCACTAGGCCTTTCTGGCCTTTACAGAATGGCTTTCCTTGCCCACCTCCTGCTGACTCCTCTTCTTTAGGTTTCCCTGACTCCCCAGCTTGTTGAGGGGTCCTTTCCGCCTGCTCACCCCCTTCGCCACCCTTACGCCGACTGCAAGTTCAGCCACACTGCCTAGATGTTGGTCCACGTCCTCCCACTTTGCTGCTGCAAGTATTTTGGGGTTTAGCATGTGCCAGGCACACACTTAGCATTTTATGTGCACCATCTACTGAAGTCTCCTCACCAACCCAGGAAACAGGTATCAGCACAACGAGAAAACTGGAGCTTAGAGAGGAGAATGTTCTGTCCAAGGTCCCACAAATACAGAGAAGGGATTTGCAGGGTCGAGCAGAGTGAAAGCAAGTTGTAAGCCCTCAACAAGTCATAGCTTATTACACTCTGACTTGCAGGAGCAGGGGCAGGACCTCACCCCTCACCCACTCGTGTCCCTTCGGCTGGACGCAGAGCGGTGCTGATTATCACTTGACTGCCTACAACTCCTCAAAGCCTTATCAACGACTGCTGTGCGCTTTCTATCAAATGTCCCTGTATTTGAGATGAGGCACTTGTCACCCTTAGCCCCCTTCCCATGGACACACAGAACCAGCAACCACCTAAATAAACATCCGCTTTATTTTACCAAATATAATTTATCAGTTATGTTGACATTTGTCAATTCAGTTATAGCAACTATAAATAATTCTCTTAAGACACAGTTCTGTAGCTTCTTACGGGGTCAGGAGTAAACCAGTGTCGCTCCTCCTCCAGGCCAGAACATGCAGTTTGTGCAACCAGGGAAAAAGAAATGAATCTTGTGGGAAAGTCACCTTCATTTTCTTTCCCTTGCCCGCAGTCCTTCTGTGGCTTGCACTCAGGGGGGACTTGGGGCACACCCATCTTGCTGCTCCTTCAGCAAAGGAGGTGCTCCAGAGTCCTCCAGGGCAGCCTGGCTGAACTCCAGAGCTAAGGGGCGAGTGACTGGGGCAGGGGTGACTGGAGGTTTCAGGGTCAGTCTCAGGGCCAGGGGGTTTGGTTTCGGTGCATGTACAAGAAGAGTCTGTGCAAACGTGTTTGGACAAGATGAAGGAAAGCCCGAGGGGAGCAGAAACACCGCTGGTATTCATGAGCTCTGTGGGACACAGCTCCCCCACCCACTCGGTAACCCCTGGGCTCCCTTTCGATGCTAAGGTTCTAGTCTCCACAGGGTGGGAGGAGGACGGCCTCTGGAGGTAGGGGCACGCTCCCAGATAAGGCATGTTGTCGGGAAGAGATGGGGCCGTGCCTTGCCAAACGGGGGCCTTTGGGGCTTCAGAGCGGTGTATGAGAGGCTGCAAGGGGGACAGAACAAGCCTGCATCTCAATGCCCAAATTCGTCCACGTCTGTGTGGACACATTTTCAGTCTGTTCAGAGTCACGTGGGGCAGATGTGGAGGCTTCACCACCCGTTGTCTTGCTCTGGTGGAGAAAAGGAGAAGTAGCAGTTGATGTCCAGCCTGCCACTTCTTTTTTGGGGGGTTGGTGAGAAGTAGAGGAAGGGTGGTTTAGGGAAATGAACACTGGTTGAGCAATGGGGCTTGTGGCTCTGGCTGTGGCCAGTGGTGCAGAGGTGGGACCCAGGAGGAGAAGGAGACAGAACTCGACTGGGAACACAGGTGCAGACACAGGGGCCATAGTTAGAGGAGCTGTTCATCTGGCGTTTGGGCAATGAGGTGAGGTTGGAGCTGTGTTTCCACACCACTGGCCAGCTGGCGCCTGGCAGTGTACCCAGCACATACCAGGATAAATATTGCTCGGTGAAGGCTTCAGAACACGCCTGCGGAAGAACCCACCTTAGGGGGCTGCGATTTCCTGAACGAGTGAAGGAATGAGTGTTGAATGCCTGCGAGCAAGAGCCGAGAGAGGAAAGCCCAACCTCCGTGGCATGGCGGGATGGGTCATTTTACCACATGACAGCGTCTAAGGGGACCACGCGATTAGGTCCTCAGGGGACACAGCAGTGATGAAAATGCCTGGTTGCCCTCAACTTCCCAACCATCCTCCACATACCCATACCCCAACCCTGATCTCGAACCCAGGCCAGCAAGCTCTGGGGAAGGTAGTGCTCAGAGGAAATAAAAGATGAAGGTTGGACAGGAACGAAGAATCTGGTCTCAGGGAGGACATGGATTCTGGCAAACCTATGGTTGGGCGTGGCCAACAGCAAGACCAGGCCGCTGCTTATTTCTCCCTGGCTGGGACAGTTAAGTGGCAGAGGGTTGGCGGGAGGGGCTGGTGGCCTTCATCAGACAAACGGGGAGGGGCATGTACACAGACTGGCTAGGCACTGTGCTCTTTTCTTGGGCTGGCACAGCTATCTCCTGCCTAGTGTTTTGAAGTTGGTCCATTTCTACAAAAAGTGTGTGTGTGTGTGTGTGTGTGTGTGTGTGTGTGAGTATGGAGGGAGTGTAGAGTGATATTTATCTCTCTGTTCAACCAAAAAGAAAAAAACAAAATAAAATTTAAAAAACCAGAGCCCACAGAGAAAGGGGTTCTCATCAGGGCCAAGACCAAGGTTGCAAAAGCTAAACCAGAGTCCCCAGATCCCAGACGGAACCCCACCCCAATCCACGTCACTGGAGGCACCCACCATGAAATTGCACTTGGTGATTGTCTCAAAAATCTACTTGTACTGCTTATCTCAGTCCATCTGTCCTTCCTGAATTTTGCTGATATAAACTTGGCTCATGTATAAAAATTCCCATTGAAAATAATGAGAATTTGGTATTGGAGTGAAGTCCTAGAAAGAGGCAGGAGTGTGGAGCGTGGAGTGGGCTGGGGAGCAAAAGAAAAAATTCAAATGGAAAGTGCAGAGGGGTGGGCAGAAGGTTGAGTGACCAGGTTAGTCCCCGACATCCGTGTCTCGGTCCCCAATGAGCCAGAGGACGTGGAAGCTGAGTGCCAGGAGGCCGGTGCCAAGCAGGTCCCCCAGAGCTGTCAAGTACGGGATGGAGAAGTTGTCTGGGTCCAGGCCCCGACCCCACATCCAATGCACCATCCAGTCCGCAATGTACAGGAGGATCAGCACCTGCCGAGACAAAGGCCAGTCTGTAGCCGCGACCTCGCTCCAGGGGGAGCCAGAGGCCACACGGTCGGGCTCGGCTGTCCACAGCCTCACTGGGGCAGCTCATCTTTCCTCCCTGGCACCCTGTGTCCTCTCACTGCCATTACCATCTTGAGCGGAACAGGCCAGCGTGAGCTCCTCAGAAAGGAAGATGCTGCCACTTCTGGCCCCACGTCAGCGTTCCTTTCTGCTCCTAAACTGACCAACACCTTGTCTACACCTTGTGGCTCCTGTTCAGCTCTCTGCCCTCCAGTTCCGGGCCATCCCACGTTGGGTCAAATCCCTCTCTGCCCTGTTGGCTTTCCTGGGAGCCTGGCCCGAGGCTGGGGGTGGAAATTTGCTTTTCATGCGGAGACAGAGACGATTCCTTTGTTCAGAGTGGAATAAGGACAGTTTTTGAGGCTTCTGCTGGCACAGTTGTCTGAGAAACAGCTGGTTATTCTGAGCTTTCCTCCTGACCCTTCCCATTCTGCTATTGTGGGTTCAGAAAATGCAAGTTTAGTTGAACATGAGTTCTAGAAAATTAGAATTACAAATAAGTCAGCTAAACATAGGGCAGACTGGCATATCAACTCAAAAGACATTTTGGATTTATCTGTGCTTTTGCTTCCCTTCCTACTACAGACAACCAAGACTGATCTAGATTAGAACCCTACCAGTGGGTACAGGAGCAGTAACATAAAAGCTGGGCACTCGTTAGCGATGCAGAGTCTGGGGCTCTCCCTGGCGGCACGACAGATTAAAGCACAGCACTGTGAAGCTCTCTACAGCACGAGTTCAATCCCTGGCCAGGGAGCTGATCCACAGGGCGCAGCAGACCTCTCCTGTCTCACCCGCTGCTCCCCTCTGCAGTGTATTTCAGTCTATCTGCCTGTTCTGTTCCCCACTCGGTCTCTGGTGAATCCTTTCACCGCCCCCCACCTCAGGCCTGTACCCCAGTTCTTATATGCAAACAAACAAATCTTTAAAAAAAAAAAAAAAAGAAGAAATGCAGAGTCTCAGGTCTCCCTGCAGAACTCCTAAATTCCTAAATCAGAATCTGCATTTTAAATACAATTCACATGCCCCTTTAAGTAGGAGGTGCATCTGATCTATGCTTCTTAACAACTGGGCTTCATAAATAACTGCATCTGAGTGAAAATGAAACAGTTTCTAGTGATCAAGCTCTAACACAGTGCTTTGAGAGTTTTATTTCTTGTACTTTGCAAATACCATGGTATGTAAATTCTATCCTATTGGGTCAGATGCAGGAGCCCGAGACTCCTGGGGATCCAAAAGCCAGAAATGTTGCTTATTTTTACCACGATTTGGTCACTTTCCTGCCTTCTTTTCAAAGAAACCAGACAGTTCCAGCGCCCTTCACCTTCCCCTTGTGCTGCACACACAGCCTTGTACTTCCATGGCCCTGGCCCTGGCCCTGGGCGAGAGCCAGACCTCTTGAACTTCACACCCTCTCCAGCAGCTGCAGGAGTGTCCCAAATAGAGACCACGACCGGAGGGACCTGGGGACGTGCCCTGACTGCAGCTGTCCCCATGTTCCAGCCTCCTAATCAGGCCTCCAGGCACATGGCTGGGAAGAAGGGCAAAGAGATCAGAAGGAATCTTTATGGGGATCAAGTACCATGCCTGCGCCCTCCACAGCCTAGGAAGACAGGACACGTGAGCACCCCCACAGGGAGCTGCTAATAGGTAACAGCTGAGGCTTTCCTTCCCAGCACAGGCCGACTGATAACCTCCAGTCACGGACCCTCAACCTCCAGCCACGGACCCTCAACCTCCAGCCACAGACCCTTAGCAGAAAATAAGTATTAATTCTGGCTTTTGGATCCCCAGGGGTCTCAGATTCTTGCATCTGGGCTCGTAAGAGTAGAACTGACCTTCACCCCTACTCTGTTCCCACTGAGGGCAATGAACCCCAATTTGCAAGGTGACCATTGCAGGGAAAGAGCATATGCTTGAATCTCAGCCAGCAATGCCAAGAAGCCCGAACACGCAGCCTTTCTAAAGTTGGGGGTCCCATGTTTGCCAGTGGTGGTCTGGTTGAATGAAATGATGGTACTTCTCTAGGACAGAAAACAATATAGCATAAAAAACCAGCGCACTCACTGGACTATGGTGATGGCACATGGGTGACTTGGTGATGGGAAACACATGGGGATTACAATTGAGATGAAAAAAAAAATGTACAAAATGATGTAAAAATAAGCTATTATACTATAAAACAAAACAAAACAAAAACCAGGGCACTTTCTGCAAGTATTGGTATGGAATGACCTGGAAGATCAATTAAGTGAAAAAAGAAGGGTAGAGAGCGTGTGCATAGTATGTTAGCTGTGTGTTAAAAAAAGGAGAAACAAATATATATATACTTGCTTGTATAAACACAGAATACACTTGGATAAAGGCGAAAAAGTTAACTACTAAAGCCTGTGCAGAAGAGAAACAGATGCCTCGGAGGAGAGTGAGAAGAGGACTTTACACCATGAACTCTTAAAAAGCACATGGACAGAGCCTCCCTCATGGCCTTGGGGTTGGCTCTCAGTGCTGTCACCTGAGTTCGATTCCAGCCAGGGAGTAACCCACAGGGCACAGCAGACCTCTGTCTCCCCACTGCTCCCCTCAGCAGTGCGTTTTAACCCATCTGCCTGTTCTGTTCCCCACTCTGTCTCAGGTGAATCCTCTAAGCCCTCACACCTCTGGCCTGTACCCCAGTTCTTCTACACACACACACACACAAAAGTTAAAAACAACAACAACAAACAAACAAGCCCTGAACAATGATTACTCTTAGTTAGTAAGAAAACATTCATAAAATTGTTAAATGTGGGTCCTCTCTGGTGGTTCAGTGGGTTAAAGCACAGTACTGAGGAGCTATCTGCAGCCACTGCAGCATGGGTTCAGTCCCCGGCAGTGGAACTGACCCACATGGCGCGGCAGACCTCTCCTGACCCGCCCCCTGCTCCCCTCAGCAGTGTACTTCATCAGTCTGCCTGTTCTGTTCCCCACTGTGTCTCTGGTGAAGCCTCTCGCCTCCCCTGCACCTCTGGCCTGCACCACAGTTCTTGTACGCATCAATCAATCAATCAATCTTTTATAAAAAATTGTTAAATGTAACAATAAGGGTGACTTGACTATCTGGCAGCATAGGGTGTCTGGCGGTGACACACCTGGGCTACAGGGGTGGCTCTGTAGCTCTGCAGATGCATACAACCACAACAGCTGCGTGTCACTCTGGTGCCGTCTGGGTGAGCGCTGCGAGCTGTGCTCAGCGGATCCCTATCACGATTCAGACTCTGGCTATACAAGTTGTTACTGTTGGGGGAGATTGAGTGAAGAGCACACGAGACCTCCCACTACATATTTTTGCAACCTCTTATGAATCTAAAATTTTTTCCAAATACAAAGTTGAAAAAAATGTAATAATACAACAGGGAGAAAGTGTCACTGTATTATGGAAGGGCAAGACTGAATGTGACCCTGGAGGTTACCTAGTGCAGTGATTGCTTTTTCCAATTTATTTATTTATGCATATAAGAGCTGGGTATCGGCCAGAGTTGGGGGTGGTGGTGGTGACAGGATTCACCAGAGACGGAGAAGGGAGAAGAACAGGTGGATAGATTGAAATGCACTGCTGAGGGGGAGCAGCAGGCAGGTCAGGAGAGGTCTGCTGCGCCATGTGGGTCAGCTCCCTGGCCAGGGATCGAATCAGCTGCAGTGGCTGATGATAGCTTCCTAGTGCTGTGTCTTTAACCCCAGGGCCACCAGGGAGGCCCGAGTGCAGCGATTTTGACAAATTTTTTGAAGCAGTGAAACTCTCTTTCAAATGAAATCTCCCGAGAGTCTGGCATGTAAAACAGGGTGAAGTGGAGCATGCCAGTGAGGCCCACAGGGGCGACAGACGAAGTCCACCGGCCCTGCTCTCTGCATCCCCTGCCTGACAACCACCATCCACCCCCCTCAATTTGCAAATGTATCGCCCAGCTTGGAGAGGTAAAACTGGACCAAAGCCTCATAGTATGTTAGTGGTTCCCGTTCTGAGCCCCGGCGCCACGCTTATCTGCCTTCAGCCTCCTAGTCAGAGAAGAAGTGTCCACACGCAGGCTGGCCGTGGCTCGCGGGCCGTACCTGGAGCAGTGCAGCTGTCATGTAGAAGACGATGAAGATGAGCGTGAGTGTGGTGTGCCCGCCCTGCATACAGCTGATGGTGTAAAGGAACACCAGGTGTCCTGGAACCACAAGGAGGAAGAGGACCCGGGCCGACCGCGAGTTCACATCTGAGGCAGGGGGGACAGGGGTGAGTAGGAGGGGCGGTGGGGGGAGGCTGTCTCCACCTCTTCATCCTGGGGTTCCCCAGCGCCCACGGCTTCCTGGGAAGCCTGGCTCTGCCCTCCAGAATAGCTGGTGGAGACTGCACATCCCAGCTCCCCTGATTCTCAAGCACATGGCTGTGGCCCCTCCCTCTGGGGCTGCTGCCATGGACCGCGGAGGGCAGGAATCTGCTGTTACCTGGACTGAAGAAGGTGGTGCAAGGACTGGGGCAGCGTCGAGGGGCTTGCTCCGAGTTCTCCCCGGGCATGCCGTTCATGTGGAGGAAGGTGGAGATGCGGCTGGCCTGCACCGCCACCAGGTTGCCCCCGACACCTGCAGACACAGACATGGGGGGAAGGAAAGGCGGGGAGGGATGATCCCTTGTTCTGCTTTTTAACCGCACAGGCACTGGCCTCCCTTTTCCAGGCTCTGTGCGGGGACAGCCCACAGGCTCCTCCCCAGGAGGAGCCAGACTGAGACAGCCCTGTTCCAGGGAGTCTTCCAGCTCCTCCCACCCTCCCCTGCCTGAGATGAGGCTGGGGGTGCAGGGAAGGACACAGGCAGATGCCCTGCAGACTCGGGAGCCTGGTTCCTCCAGCTGCACAGTCCGCACACCTGCTTCCCCACACAGTTGAGGGGGAGCCCGGCACCCCGCCGCCCCCGCTCCTGCTCCCAACCGGCTCACGTGCTGATACTCTGCACTAGCTCCAGGAACCAATTTCAATATCAGGTCTGAGCTCTGGACTCAGATGTCTCCCAGGAACTGTGCTAGTATTCTCTTTGCCTCCCCTCCCCCAACCTATTCCCTGCTCTTCTCGACCTTGCCCCAAGGCCTGGAGGCCCCTAGATGGCATCTGACTTCTAGATGACTTTGCCCAGGGGCCCTTGCTGGTCCAATGGGAGGCAGCAATAGGCAATCAGAGAGGGTGGGAGGAGAGAGCCGGCCAGTGTTCCCTCCTGAGCCCTCCCTGCTTTTTGGAGGGGCCCCCTCTCCTAACCCCCTCCTGTGAGTGGCAGCAAAGGGCTCTCACTGGGCTTCTGAACACAATTTCCCTGTCACCCCTGAGGACTCCGGCTTGTGCTAATCTCTCGGTACTCCAATTTTTCTTCTTGGACCTTCTATCTTCCTCTCCCCTCTGAGTGTAGTCCCCGCTTTCAACCCTGAGCTGGATTCTCTTGCCTGCCGGAACCCTGACTGGTACAAGGTTTGACCCCTCAACCCTCCCCATCAATCCTCTCCTTTTTCTCTGGCAGCTGATGCCTAGACCTCACCCTTAATCCCAGGCGACCTCACCATTAATCACAGGCGTGAAGACAGCCATCCCTGCAAAGTTGGGGTCTGAAACAGTCTTGTCCAAGATGAGGCCCCCCACACTACAGACAGAAAGACAAGATGACAAGGGACCGTTGAAGAGAGACTGTTCTGGTCTCAGGACAAGGGCACAGTCCTATCCAGCCTTGGCGGGAAGGGGGGCCAAGTGCCGCCAGGGGCTCCCATCTTCCAGCCAGAACCAGCTATTGCTTATAATGGGTTGACTTGGAACAGTGACCTCAGTGCAAGCCGGAGGTGGCCGTCCAGGCAGCCATCTGCTGTACCCATACTGGCGAGAGGAGCCGCCTGAGGGTCATCTGTCTGGCAAGGTCACGGGTGTTCAACCTGCTCAGTCCTTATCTCCCCTTCTGGGATCAGCCCCGGCTCTTCCTCAGGGAACTGCCTCTCAAACTCAGACATTGGTCTGGTGAGGGCTAGACGACCCTAACAGAGCATCGCACCCCAAGGCCACTGTGATGGTTCAGGGGTAGCCCCGGGACTGGACAAGAGTCAACACTATTTGATGATGAGACTTTGTGGCGTTGTGGCGAGAAAGAACCTCTTCTCACCGGGACTTGTAAGAATAAGACACACAGAAAGTTGGATCTGCAGGTCAACACAGGGAAAAATCAGGGCAGAGAGGTAGAACATTTGGGGCATCTGAACCCAGCTGTGTCTTAAAGCTCCCAAAGCCGATACCTTCTGCTTTCCAATGAAACCCCCTTCACAGGTTGTCGTTTGCAACAGTGGGTATGTGAGGAACACACTAGTGAAGGCATGCCCGGGGTGCATGCCATATTCCCTCTCTTGGGGGCTGAAGAGGGAATCTTGCAGGGTGGGAGGAAGGCAGGGACACGGGCCAAGGTCCTACCTGCTGATGGCCATGGCGATAATGACAGGCTCCCACCCCGAATATAACACCTCCCTGGTGGCGGGGCTCCGTCGGGCCAGGACCACCCAGACAGGCAGCAGGGTCACGAAGAAGGCACACACCAGGGGGTAGATGTATTGCCAGTTGTCTGGAGAAGCAGACATCAAATCAAATAGGGTGAGTGGTGTGGTCCCTGCTCCTTGCACCCCTGGCCTGCAAATGTCCCAACAGATGAACAGCTACACCACCCCGAAAACTTAGTGAACATATCAGCCCATCTGAGCCCCACCGGACACCCAGGAGGGAGGCGAGGCCGGCCCCTGCCATTTTGTAGACGAGGGAGCCGAGGCTGCACCCCTCAGCCACTAGATTTTTCACGAGGGTGCAGACGAGACTCCAGGTTTCTTGATCTGATCTCAGCCTCCTCTCTAAGCCCCTATTCATTTAGTAGATAATAATACCAAGCCTTTCCTTGTTGGTAGCCATCTTACTCCTCCAAGGGAAGTGAGGAGGAGGAAGGATCAAGGAGAATGGACTTCCCCACTGCCCTGCCGGCTGCATGAATCTGCAGCCTGTGGCCTCATCTCTCTAAGGTCAGAGTTATCCCAAACCATGTTTTTACCAAAAGGTGAACAGCATGGAAGACCTCCTCACACATTTGCAAAACCACTACCGTCTCTCTCCCCGTGCCACGAAGAGTCAGCCCACCCTCCCTCGGTGGCGTCAGCCTTACTCTGCTCCAGGTAGAGGCCCCAGCTGATGCCTGAGAGCAGCGCCAAGGTGATGAGGTCGCCCAGGCTGGCGGCAATGGGTGTGGCCACGTTGTCTGGGTTGATCCCGATCTTTCGTGAGCCGATGATGACTCCTATCATGATCATCCCTGGAGCGGGGCGGGCAGGCGAGGCGACAAGGGGTGTCACCGAGCAAAAAGAGACTGGAGGTGCCAGACACAGTGCACACTCTGGGGTACCCATCCCTACTCCCCTGGCCCTCTCTTCCTTACCCAGCACCAGGGAGGCGATGAAGGCCGTGGCCACGCTGCTGGCACAGAGCAGGAAGGCATGCGGGATACTGAAGTGGCCGTCGGGGATCCAGCCAAAGACGACGGCTGCGATGGAGGCCAGGAAACCCACCACCGTGGCCTGCACCTGCGAGGGTGGCAAGGCGGAGAGGCCTGCAGCAGGAGCCTCGTTGCCGAAGTTGCTGAGCGCTTCGTCAGACCTCTCCCTGGCCCCGGCAGCCCCAGGAGGCTGGCTGGGTTGGACTGTCCAGTCCTCCCAGGCTGGAATGATGTCTTTATTTATTTAGTTTCACACCAGACACTCGCCCTGGACAGAGCACCCTGCAGGGGAGCCCAAGGCACGTTACTGGCCCAAGAAAGGTCCTTCCGGGGATTGGGTTCAACAAGCCCGAGCCTTCGGAACAGACACGAGGCCTGGGACTTACAGGGGAGGACTCCCAGGCCCGAACACGATGACTTCAAGGGGAGACGGGAACGTGCAGTCAAGATTACTTAAACAGTCTCGAGTCTGCTCTCGGGTCTCATCTGCGGGCCTCAGGCCCTGCGCAGTCGAGGTCTCACCCAGGACATGCCAGGCCCTCCTGATCTGGGCAGGTTTCTGGTAACCCGGCAGGCTCCAGAGGGTTACCTGGTTCCCTCCTAGTGCCGCTTTGGAGACGCCAGGTCATCAGCATGCCATAGTGCCACTCATGAGCCTGTCAAGCCTGTCAGATTCCTGACTCGGGGGGCAGCTGAGCCCACCTCCCTGGTCCCTGCTCTCTTACCTGGATGAGGGCCATGTTCCCGGTGATCATCCGCCAGAGCTCCTTGGGTGTATCCATGTGCCCGATGTTGGCCTGGGAGAGAAGGGCAAGGGATTGCAGTTGAGCCGGAAAAAGGCCTTGCAGCTCCATCCGCTAGGACCCTGCCCGAGCCAGGAGACAGAGCATGAGGGAGACTCAGGTTGGACATGATTCCCAGGAAGAGTAAGGCAGGATCAGAGGGGATCCCGTGAGGGGGAAGAAGTGAGGGTGCCTTGAGCTGCTGCAGCTAGGCCTTGGGCACTCCCCTCTTTCACCCCTTCCCATTCTCAGAGGACCCCTGGGTGTTCATCTGGCTCCTTCCTACGAGTCAGCAAGACCCTGGCTCTGAAGACAGCTTGCTAAACTGGGGCTTCAAGAGTTCTGGGTAGGGGTGAGGTGCTGAGGGGATAGGCCAGGAGCAGTGCGAGCTGTGGGCCAGGCTGGCTGCCACTTCTCTGCTGTCCTCGCCAGACTTGTGGCCATGCAGGGACATCCCTGTCCCCTGATTTCCCAGGTTCCCGAGTTTTACTGCCTCTAGTTCTCCTCCCCCACTCCCCCAACCCTGTGACTAGCTCAGCCTCTGCAGCATCAAGGCTGCCCCACGGGGTTGTGGGAGGAGGGAGTGGCGAGCAGGCCCTGTCCATCTAGACCCTTAAGGAAGAGCAAGCGGCAGAAGGGGAGAGGGGATGGGGCGGGAGGGGGCCGGGAGGGCCTGGCTCTGCTCCTGCCCAGCTGCAGAGTAGGGCTGGAGATCAGAGGAGGCCCCCATCTGCGCCGGTGGAGGGACCAGCATGACGCTCTCCTGCCCAAGCTGCATAAACAGTCACGAGGCAGTTGTGAAGCAGGGGGTGGGGCAAGAGCCAGGGGCACTGGGACACCCAGAAACCGAGCCTGGGAACCACGCTGGGCAGGGAGCCCCTGCCCAGGGGCAGCACACCGGGCCTGGGATCTCCCTATACCCGCCCAGCACAGCCTCACACCCCAGGCCTGGGTGGACAGGAAAGGCCTGTGATCCCCCGTCCGCCCGATGCTGCCTGGGCTCTGTGTGGCCCGCTCCTCCAGGCCAGGACACTCACTGCAGTGGACAGCCTCGACGCCAGGGTCATTTCCAGGTTCCCCTTAAGCCCCAGCAGTGCAGGTACCAAGATGAAGACCTCTGTCACCTTCTGGAACACTTCCCAGTGCTGCAAGGTAAAAACAGAACCCAGAAATTTCAGTGCCCCAAAGGCCTGGTATTGATGTTGAACAGAGAGTCTGAAATGAAGGGGCTCAAGTGGCCTCCTGGTGCCCCAGGGGTTAAATCTCAGTGCTATCACGGCCACAGCCTGAGTTCAATCCGGGGCCTGAGAGCTGACCCACATATGGTGCAGCCCACTGCTCCCCTCAGCAGTGTATTTCGGTGGATCTGCATCTTCTGCTCCCCACTCTGTATCTGGTGGATCCTCTCATCCCCCACACCTCTGACCTGCGCCCCAGTTCTTCTACAAAAGAAGTAAACACTATAAAAAGAAATCAGGGGCTTGAGGAGGAAGTGGGCAGGGTTGAGCAGCCATTCTATACTCCTAGACCTCTGGAACCCAAACACATCCATGGTCCTCCAAACACAGGCCCTCCTCTTGTCCCCCAGAACAGGGGAGAACAGGTCTCCCCCAGTCAGAAGACCCCAACATGGCTCTACTTTCTCTGCTTTCTGGAGCCAGGTTGGTGTGACACAGGGAAGTCAGCCCGGGCTGGCTTACACCCCCAAACTCCTCTGTGGTCCCCCCTCAGATTGCGATTGCCAACCCCCTTGCCTTCAGAGCAGTTTCTGTGTGACCTCGGCCTTGAGTAGTGTTGTCTCAGCTGTGGAGAGCTGGGCTCCATGGGGCTGGGCTGGGAGATTAAGAGTTTGTTTGGCTTCTCTCTCCAAGGGCTTTGGGCCTCAGCCACAACAAGTCCGTACCACAACAGGTCTGAACCAAGACTGTCCCAAACCGCTGATAGTTGGTCTACACAAAGCTTTTTATTCCTCCTCTGTACCCCGTCACCCACATCTCATCCCCATCTCTCAGTCAGGAGAGGCAAGGACACCCTGCAGGAGGAACAGTGGTCTGGGAGCCAGGAGACACCAGCTATCAGCCTGGCTCTCCCATCGGCTCCTTGAGCCACGACCCAGGTCGAGTTGAACCCTATCGACAACTCAGCCAGGCAAAGGCTACTTTTACCCCACTTTGTGGAGGAGGAAACTGAGGCTCAGTTAAGAGCACACTGCACACATTGCACTAAGAGGGAACAGGACTGGCTGTCCGAAAGCTACTTTAGTTGCAACAGAAATTGAAGACTGGAAAAAAAAAAAAAAAAGGCTGGAATTGGGTCTCCCTCCTCCATCCTGAGAGGACACAGATTCCTTTATTTGTTTTAAGGATGGAAAGCCTTCAGGTTTGAAGAGGGACAAGCAGGCAGGCGGCCAGGCGGACGTGCCTGGGCACCTTGGCTGGTAGAACTGCTGGCGGAAAGCAAGGTGCTGAAAGGGGCAGGGGCACTGGCCTGAAAGTCTTGGTTCTCCTACAAGAAACCACAGGGAGGAGCCTCGTGCTGTCTCCCCAAGTCCTCCCCACACGGGGAAAGGGGGGCTGAGACAAGTCACAAGAGCTTCAGGCTCCTGGCTGTGAAATGTACAGTTCAGGGGCGAGGTGAGGTGTTTCTAAAGGACTAGTATTAGAACAAGGCTGCAGAAGTCAGCAGCAATGAAATACCACCTCATGCCCGTTAGAGGAGCTACCGTTAACAGAGAACAGACTAGAAAAGAACTAGTGTTATGGAGGATGGAGAGAAACTGGACCCCTGTGCAATGCTGGCAGGAATGTAAAATGATGTAGCCACTATGGAAAATACTACAGCAGTTCCTCTAAAAATTAAAAATAGAACTACTCTACGATCCAGCAATCTCACTTCTGGATCTAGATCCATAAGAACTGAAAGCAGTGATTCGAAGAGATGTTCGCACCCCTGAGCTCACTGCAGCGTTAACTCTCAACAGCCAAGAGGTAGAAGCACCCCAAGCGCCCGTCCAGGGATGAATGATCGAATAAATGCAATAGGATTGATACACACAATGGAGTATTATTTAGCCTTAAAAAGGAAGGAAATCCTGTTGTATTCCACAACACAGACGGACCTTTAGGACGCGATGAAGTGATATAAGCCCATCATAAAAAGACAAATCCTGGGGCCCTCCCTGGTGGCGCAGCAGGTTAAAGCACTGCACTAAGAAGCTTACGCCACTTCCACATGAGTTCGATCCCCGCCTGCCCCGGAGGAGTCCACATGGCGTGGCAGACCTCTCCTGACCCGCCCGCTGCTCCCCTCAGCAGTGGACTTCGTCGATCTGCCTGTTCTGCTCCCCACTCTGTCTCTGTCTCTCACCCTCCGCATCTCTGGCCTGTACCCCAGTTCTGTATGAATAAATAAATAAATCTTTAAAAAAAAAAAAGACAAATCATGTATGATTCCACTTACATGAGGTACTGACATCCATAGAAATAGAAAGTAGAAAGGGGGTGTATGGGGCTTGGAGGAGGGGGAGGGGCTATTCAATGGGCACAGAGTTGCAGTTCTGCAAGGTGAAGCTTCTGGAGATACATTTCACAACCCCGAATTTTATACTGAAAAGTGGTTCCAATGATACATGTTATGTTACTACTATTTTTTCATCATACATACACAAAGATGAGCGAGGATATGAGAGGAGGTTGGGGAAAGGGCTGGAAGCCAGGAGAGACTGGACACTGGGCAAGGGGTGCCGACAAAGCAAAACCTCTTTTCTCGTCAGTTCTTTGAATGTGTGTGGGAGGGTAGGAGTGGGGCACCAGAGAAGGCTCTCTCAAGACCTTGGGGGACTCACAAGGTTAGGGCCTCCCCTGACCTGCATTCTGCCTGGGCCCTCACAGGTGGCGGGCTCAGGATTCTCTTGGGGACCCCCTCTCTGAAGAGTAAGGAGGGAAAGGAGACCTGGCCCCAGCGTCTGGTCCTCACAATATCTGCTGCATCCTCAAGCACGCACAGGGAGAGCCCGCCCCTTTCTAAACACTGGGGGGATATGAATATCTTCTGATTCCTGGAGCCCCAGAGAGAGGGTGGCCCCAGTGAGCACCGGCCCTGGAGGAGCTAGTGGACTGTTACTCTTGGACAGGCTGCTGCCTATCGCTGGGCCCGGCTCCCCGCTGGCCAGGCTGTGTTCTGCTTCAGCTCCCCCTTTCCTGTCTAAACTGGACGCAGCTCCTGAGGGCAAGAATTCCCTTTATTGCCTCTCCCCTCACAATAGTGGGGCTAGTGAGGGGCTTTGAAGCCCCTCTGAGGGTAGGGCCTCCTTGCCCCTCCTCGCTGCAAACCGTCTGTCCCACGGTTGCCAGGGCCGTGAACAGCTTCTTCTCCACGTGGGCGGAGGGGATGTGTATGCTCTGGCGGCTTGAGAAGCCTGTGGAGAAATATTCCAGTGTGGGCAAGTAATCTTTTCTGAATCATCTGTAAGGAATATTCCTGGTCTTTATGATTCTTTAAGAAGAAAAGAAGTATGAAGCTCAGCTAAGCCCCTGTGGTTGCCAACACACGCTCCCCCAAATTCCTCTACCTTCCAGGATACACAACCTCTCCTTTTAACTACACAAGGACTTGGAAAGTATGGGGTTTCAGCAGATGGGGTGAGAGACAGAATCAAGGGAATGACTACAATACCCCCTTAAGGAAAAATTTTCCCGATATGCACAGAACAGTCTGGAATTCACATCACCTGAGCCTCAGTCCAGAGCTGTCCTAGCCGACACCTGCACGAGAGAGGCTGATTCCTTCCTACACATACACTTTCACCATTCACAGAATCCTGCTAAAGCAGCAGCTCAGGCAGGGGTGGCCTGGGTCCCCCCACCCTCCTTTGGGAAGAGGTGCTGGGGATAGGGAAGCAGCCAGAAGCCAGGAGGCCCTGAAATTATGCACGGGGTGAATGTGGCAGGGGCTGAGGCCAGAGTCTCGCCTCTCCTTCCTCCTTGGCCTAGTTCAGGCCCATTCCATTTGTCCTGCTGGGAGCGCCTGCCCCAGAAGTCAAACCTGCCAGCAGAGCCGCCAGTCAAGCCTTCACCCACGTCTCCCTGCTCTGCTGGGAGGGAAGGGCTGTCCGCTCCCCCTGGGGCGGGGGCATCTACAGAGCGTCAGGAGGCAGCTCCTCTTCCCTTTCTCTCTTTCCTCTGCAGGGCTGGGAATGGTGGGACTGAGGACGAGCACCAGCACCCTCAAGCCCAGAAGGATTCCTGACTCAGCACAACCACCCGAAGTCTTGAGCCTCAGTGGTCCCGCCGCCGGCAGCTTTCTCCTCTTCTACCCTGCCTCTCCCATTCCTCCCCTCCTCTGCCTTCACATATGCACCCACCTCCCCCACCTTCAAGTGTTCTGCCTAAGACTTATTCCCCTGCAGGAGCATAGCAGTGGGCAAGGAAAGGCAGGAAGAGCTGCAACCACAAGAAGAGGGCACCAGGGCAATGCCTGGGCACCCAGGCTGCTCGGAGCGTGGAGAAGAGTGGTCAAGTGAGACGGACTCTGTGTGCCCTGCCTGGGAATGCCAGCAGCTACTATGGGTGCTCCCTCTCGCCCCAAGCCCATGCTGCCACTCACTCTCATTTTTGGAGACCTTTGCTGAGACCCATGAAGGTAGAGATGGCCAGAGGCGGAGGTGTTTGGGATCCTTTGTGAGTGAGTGGTGAATTCAAAAAAAAGACCCAGGAGTGCCTATCACCTGTGGCAAAGCAGCCGGGAATTCTACCTCCTGCCACCCCTGGCCCTCACAAAGGCTGCCGGGAAAAGGGGGAGAGGCTCTTGCAGTCTTCTGGGACAGAACCAGGAGGCAGGGAGCAGGCAGCTGGAGGCCCCCATGTCCCACCCCAACCTGGCCCAGCCTGTCTTCCCAACCTGGGAAGCTGAAGCAGACAGTCTCTTCAGCCCTTCCCTACTTCCAGCTGCTGGTCTGCCCTCACCCCCTGCAAAGCCTGGCTGTGGGCAGAGTGAGGAAGAGGCCAGTAAGAGGAGAAAACGTGGGCCTTCCAGACTGGGTCTTCTGCAGTCGTGGCGTAGATGGAGGTCTTGGCCCAATGACACATCTGAGCCTATGTGGGCTTCTGCTCATGCCCGGAGGCATTGGGGACACTCCCTAGGCACCCCCAACCCAGGCCTCGCAGACCGTCACACTGAAGGCGTCTCAGCTTGTGAAGCGGGGTGAAAGTATGCAACTTAGAAGCTGCTGCTGGGCCTGAATCTGCGGTGGGCCACCCCCATGGCTGCTCTGGCGGTGGTGTAAGCAGCCCCTGTGGTCCCATGGCTTGGTCCTTCTGCACCCATCTGTGCCCACCCCCCCATGATGTCACTGCAGCCATCTGCAGGGCCTGCTGAGCCCAGCTGTGGCAGGGAGGCCGGGGGAGGGGACAAGGACAAACTAGCCATTGTCGTTCTCGCCAATGGGCCCCAGCTCTGGGCTGAGTCTAGGAGCCAGACTGAGGCCAAGCGCTGGCTCTCCGTGGGCATGCCAGGCAGGGTCCTCGCTTCCCCTCCAGGTCTAGTTATGGGCATAGGGTGCAGGTGGCGTTGGTACAAGATGTCAGAGCCTCTTACAGTTGTAGAGTTTTCTGGATATGTGGGCGGGAGGGGACAACTTTGTTCTTGCTCATGCTAGTCTGTAACTCCAGTTGCTCCAGATTGCAGTCTACCCTGTTCTTTGGGGGAAGACAAAGAAAGCAGATTCCTGCTGAAGTTTTTCACCAACTGGCAAAACAAGGCAAGAGTAAGGGCCACGGAGGTTACCAGCAAGGGCTGGGAATCAGATGACCAGGGACACGCTCCCTAATCCCTCTAAGAGATACGTTCCCTAGCTACAGAATGGATGTAGCTATGCTTCCCAGCTCCTGGGTCCCCAGAAGAGTCCAGCAAATGATCCCCATTAATATCCAGAAATTCATCCACCCTCTCCCTTTGTAGGCACCAAACCAGGATTCAAAAACTCTGAATCGAGGCAGAGAAATTGCCCTGACTCCAGACTCACTTCTCTCAATACTCCGGTTCTCTGCCCTGGGAGAGGGGCCGTAGCCAGGGAAGGATCCCAAGCCCGGCTGTCTCCAGGCCTTTCGAACCTCCAAGAGGACAATCCTTAAGAAGCAGATGACGAGGGAAGGGAGTTAGCACAAGGCGGATAGGACAGGAGCAAGCCCCTCATTAGGGGTGGGAGATGCCGGGTTCTCTTGAAGGACTCAGGCCAAGGTGGTCCAAGCAGACACCGCTGAACCCAGCTGCCTGGATACAGGCACAGAGGGACCCACCATCAACCACACGCCTCTCATAGGCTTGACCCAGCACAGGGGAGGTGGTGCTGAACTCCATGCTCTCCCGGGGGGTTTCATGGTCAGGGATATGCTGTCAGAGGGGTGCATGTGTGTGTGTGGGGGGGGGGAGGGGCCCAGGGGGCAAAAGCCAGATCTCCAGCCTCTGTATTCCTCAGAGTACCTAGGACGGAGACCAACACGTGGAAGGAACTGGATACATGCAATGAGGGCCGGAGGTGAATCCACGCTTTCAGAAAGCTCTGCATGCCCATTGTGTTTCAAAAGCTTTTATCTGGAAATAAGACTCCAAAAATCTCTGACCTCGAGGTTCTGGGGAGTCCCACAAACCACTGCCCAGCACATCGCTGGCTGTTAGCTTCCAGGTCCTGCCAATTGTTAGCCCTGATTCTACCCAGTAGCCTCACAAAGAGCCCTCTGTCTGGGCAGGCTCATGAAAGACAGGTAAGGAGCAAACAGGAGAGACAGTTCTGCCTAGACCTGGTTACACTTTGTCCCCGTTTATGACACATAACAAGCATTCCAGATCTTGTCACACCAACTCCCCCAAATTATGCATCAGACAGCATGTGTCCACTCCCACTCCCCTTTTCTGTTACAGACAGAAAAGCGACCCCAAACAGGTTAAGCACTTAATCTGAGACCCGCTTTTGGCAGCTGGACAAATACCTGCCCAGCAGGGGGATGGAGAGGAGACTTGAAACTGAGCTTTGTACACCAAGGTATTCTTGAAACCCGGGGTGGGAACAGTCTAAAGAGACTACCCACTAAATATCTCCTCCTGGGCCAGGCTCAGCAGGAATGCCCAGGTGCAACAACCCCATCCCATTTCTCCTCTTCCAAGCCTGCACTCCAGAACCAGTTCTGCTTCTGTTAAGCAATATTGCCCCGACCACCTCCCAGGGCCCACAGGGCTTCCTCAAGGCTTCTGTAGAAAGTAACCAGATCAAGACGAAACCCAGGACATGATCCAAAGGGAAACAGTATTCTAGGAAGCGCAGCTGCTTTGCATGGGGTTGGGCAGAAAGCTCCAGCAGTCAGAGTCCCAGGGGGAAAAGCGGCCCGGGCTCCCCGTGAAGAGCGTCCCTACTGGGCCCTACCTGCACGATGTCCAGCACCATGCCTGCAGCCACCGTCCCGAAGCCTGCCAGGAGGAAGGGAAACAACACCTGCAGCCCGATGGAGAAGGAGGTCTCCTTGAGTGGGGAGGGGGGTGCGGGGCCCCGGTCCGTGCTGACGTCGTCGCTTTCATTGCTCTGGCTCCCGTTCTCCAGCAGGGCGTCTTCTTCCCGAACCCCCTTGGCATTGGCCCGAGACTCAGTCACCACCACCTCCACCCCAGCCCCATCGGGCCCCAGGAACTCTGAGGTCCCGGCCAAGGGCTCTCTTCCGGGGCCATCTGAAGAGCATGGTGAGGCAGCGGGGCCAGTTCCATTCAGCTGGTGGACGTCCTTCGGCTCTGGTTTAGAGGACATGACGGGAAGGGAGGAGGGGAAGGGGGACTTTCTTCTTTTTTTGCTTTGGCTTTCCCTCTCTAACTTGGGAAAGAACTTAGTCCTGGGGTGAACCCAGGCTTGGGCGCCGCGGGACCTCTCCCCACGGCTCTCTGCTCCTACCAGGCACTGCAAAAGCTGATCTAGCAACAGGCAGCCCCATCAAGCACTGGAGCCACAGGCTGGAGGGAAACAAAAAAGCCCCCAACAGACTCTGTAGCTGATCACCAGGGGTGTAGACGCTGGCTCCGGCCACCAGTGCTGTGCTCGGGGGTGGGGGGTGGGGGGGGGGGAGAAACTGATCTGGTCTCTTATCTTCTTTGGTTCACAGAGGCAGGCTCCTGGGAGCAGGGGGCATCCAGATGGAAGAGCCCAGCCAAGTCTGGGGTGCCTTCTAAGGTGGCCCTTCTTCCAAGAAAAACAGCTTGTGTTCAAATCGTTCAGAAGACAGCCCCGATGTGGGGCTGCAGCTCCTTCGCTTGCCTCAGGCTGGGTTCCTCAGGCTTCCCGCAGCTCTTTGGATTCTGCTGGTCCCAGGGCAGTGTCTGCTGCTTTTCCCCTTTCCTCCAGAGAGTTCCCTCCTTTCTGAGAAGACCTCGTACCTCCTCAAATCCCTGGTTCTTAAAGTCTGGAGAATCTGTGTGGAACACCTTATGGAGAAGGAAGAAGACAAGAAAGAATGTTACAACACAGCAGAACCACTTGGTGGATTTACAACACAGGCCAACACAGAGAACCTGCTCCCGCCCCTCTCTTGACACTAAAATGACCCATTCTGGCCTGCAACATCAGGAGTCCCGCAGGTGATATTTCCTCCTCGCTTCTAACCGGCACCCCAGCGCCCCACAAATAATTGGGGAGAGGCAAGATGTCCTGGAGGGAGACCCCTTTTTGAACGCCCGTCAAGAGTCCATCAAAGATTATTTAGGTGTGGCCTCCTGAGGGGCAGGGGTCAGCGACAAATTTAGTCACAAACTCCCTGCCACAGTCACAGGACAGCCAAGCCCACAGAGCAAATAAACAGGGAGAATCTGTCACTGAGTGAAGGTCCCCAGACTCCCAAATACCCGAGCCCCCAGGGAGGAAAAAACAACAAACCAGGGCTCCCTGAGCAGTGGGGCAAGCCTGCCAGCGGAAGGCCAAGAGCCAGAGGCCTTCCACTCCTGTCCTTGACTGTCAACACTGTTACAAAGAGCTCAGAGGCTGACTTGGACCCAGGCCTGTCTCCACTTCTCTCCCCTGCTCACGGCCTTGGGAGCTTGTCAGATAGGAGAAGGGAGTTATCTCAGTTTGAAGGAGGAAGGGGTAAGACTATTGGTTATTATGCACACATTTCAGTTCCCTAGGCTCACCCTGTTCCCCTGGGTTACTGAGAGTTGGACATAATGGAATTCTTAGGAAACAAAAGCAAAAAACAAAAGCAGCTACTAAAAAAATAAATAAATAAAACAAAGCAAAACAAAAAAACAAAGCAGAATAAGCCAAAGGGTGCTTGTTCCAAATGCAGGAACAGCCCCACTTTCTCTCCTAAAAGGATCCCCAGGCTTGATTCCACCCATCCCATGTCACTAAAATAGCTTGTGTAAGAAAAAAGAGGGGGCGGGGGGAGGGGACCAAAAAAAAAAAAAAAACGCAAAACTTAAGAGGATTTTCCCAGATGGGGTGAACCGAGTCTTAAGTATTCCAAACACAATTAGTCAACTCTGGTTTGGCAAGGGGTGACTGCAATGCCAGTAACTGGCCCATGGGAATTACTTCTCTTTCTATCCACTCAAGTCATCCGGGCTCCCTTTCCAATCACTTTACACTGGGTCCTGTGGTTCCTTCAAAGATCCTCAGTAGAGACCCAGGAGGAAACTTCTGCGCAGGAATCCACAGCCCACATGCCCCCCAAAAAGTTTCAGTTTGCTAAAACCTGCCCCTAGGGCCTCCTCCGGCTTCCTGGCGGACCACCTAACCTCAAAAGGGGCTGGAAGGAGGAGAAGCCAATACCTCAGCCCTTCCTGTAAGGACTCCTGACTGAGCTGGGGGCCGGGATGAAAGAAGCAAAAGTGGACCAGGATGCCCTGAGGTAAGGCACACACACAAAAAGACGCATTTCGTGTCCCCAAGCCCCGGGAGGGGGAGAAGAAACTGGGTGGCCTCTTCCGCCTCTCCTGGACTCAGACTCCGTAAATGCGCAGCTCGCCAGGCCTCCCGCCCCCGGCCGCCCGCTCCCCCAGACCCGACAGGACTGACCTGGCCCTCGCTGGGGAGGAAGGGGGGTGCCTGACGAGTGGCAGCAGGAGCCCGTGGTCTCGGGGGGTGCAGGGTGCCCCCTCTTCTCATCACTCCTCCTCAGCAGTCCTCCTCGACCCCCGGAGTGCCCTCCCACACCCCCAGCCAAGGAGACCGTCCACCCGCGACCCCCGGCTCGCTACATTTCGCCTCCGCTTTCCAGCGAGGCCGCAGCTCAGCTTCCACGAGGAGGAGGTGGCCAGGGAGGACAGGATATACCGCTTCGGGCCTAGGCTAGGGGGACCCCGACGAGAGCCTGTGGGGCCGAGCTCACTCGCCCCCAATCGCTTCTAGTCGGAGGACTTGGGCCCGACTGGTTGGCTGCTAGTGGCAAACGTGATCTAGGGCAGACTGGGTGGCACTCCCCACCCCTCCATCAAAAATAGGTTGTGGATGGACAACTGCAGCAGCCAATGGAAACCCGGGAGGGGACGGACGCTGCGTGGCCCGGCCCCTTTCCTTCGCTCAGGGCCCCGGAGGCGGGGCGCTGGGGAGACGCTGAGCTAGAAGGAAAGCGAGCTGCTGCCAGTCGCGATCCCGCGGCGGGCTGGCGGGCCCCGCGCCCATCAGCCGGCGGCCTGGGTTCCAGCAGCCTCAGGGGCCCGCCCTGCCCTGCCTGGGAGACCTGCTGGTCTGCGGAGCTGTGCGCCCGAGCGCGTCCGCGTGGGCATCCTGAGTTGCCCTGAGCCGCAGGCGGGGAGACCCGGGAAGCTCCTAGTGGGACCAGCGAGCCAGCCTCGCTGGCGGCCCGGGCGGCCGCCGCGGTGCCCCTTCCCCGCGCTCTGCACCCGAAGAGAGTCGCCCTACCTGGTTCTAGGACACAGCTCCCCTTCTCGCCACCTCGCGCTTCCGCCCGATTCCGCGTTCACTAGGCAAATGGCTCAGCCCTGGCGGACCTTGCCTTTATATACCGTCCCAGCCTAGAAAGGGGTGGGGATGGGCGGGCAGGAGGGAAGAGAGATGGGATCTTCGCTGGGGTCCTACACGTGCCACCTGAGGTAGGGGCGGCACCTTTGACCGGCCGACCCTGGCGGCAGCATCGGGAGAGAAGTCTCCATCCCGGCGAAACGAAATCCAACTTTCCCTGACGCATCTTGCCGGATCAAAGAGGGGTGTTCCCACCTCTTACGGCTTCCTCCCTGGGGTATCTCCACCTCACCAGTGTACACTCAGTACCTGTTCTCTTTGGGATGTTTTTGTACAGGGAGGTGTGACCGCCCCCATAAAGGAACCGACACCCCTGGGTTTTCCCTCTTCTCAGTGGAAACTGTGACCGTTGGTTCCTTCCTGCCCTTTTTCCTCCCGGAAAGTCGCCCATGGGGCACTGGAGCATGACTCCAGGTCCCCGGGTGGGGTTCAGAGCAGCGATGTGCCTGGGGAGAGGAGAACCCAGTGCTCGGTGGAGATTTTGGTTGTGTGCACTGCTGCACGCCCCCCAACCCCAAAAAACCAACCGAACAAGAAGGAACCGGAAGAACCAAAAAAGCAAAAACAACCCCTCAACAATCCAAAACAATCCAAGTCAACCTTTGGGACATTTGTATCAAGGACCTGCAGTCTCTCTGGACCTAACAGAGGAAATATTAGTGTCTTATCACCCCAATTTGACTGCAAACACTGGGTCTCTCTGCCAATAGGCATAAGAAACTGCTAGACCAGGAAGAGTGGACTACAATTAAAAGGATCCTTTTATGGATGGGGCAAATGGTCGGATGAGGAATTCAAGCTGATGTCATTTCAATATAAGGCAGGAGACAATTCCTGCCCAACTCTATTCAATGGTTCTTCAATCCCCTTTGTCACAGCTCAGCCATTTATATATAAGATCCCAATCTTCCTTCTCTTTCCTTTTCACTCTCCTTTTTATTGGTTTACAACATTGTATATTATTTAGAGGTATAAGTAGGCGATCATCCTCTACCCCTTCGAAGCATATGTTATTACTCCATCTTCCATTTTTTATCACCCCCAATCCTGTAGGTGTTCTTTTAGTTCTAAATATACCAGATGTGTAAGGTCACATGATATAACCACCACTCATAAAACAACCACTTAATTCAAGGATAGAGGATTGTTAGCATCCAGAGACCCTCCACCTATGTCCCAGTCACATTTCCTCTATTGGGTTCAGGGAGGCTGCAGGCCCTTGATACAAATGTCCCAAAGCTGAACTGGAATGATCCCGAATGCTGAAGGGGTGGTGCCTGTTGTATGTGTGGGTCATCCTGGTCCATACTGCTCAGGTAGCTGTGTGAGGGTAGGAGGCGTGCAGCAGTGCACACAACCAAAATCTCCACCGAGCACTGAGTTCTCCTCTCCTCAGGCACATCGCTGCTCTGAACCCCACCCAGGGACCTGGAGTCATGCTCCAGTGCTCCCATGGGTGACTTACTCTTTCCCTAAAGGTTACCTCTAACAACATAGATTAGTTTTGTGTGCTTTTGGATTTTATATAAAAGAAACCATTCAGTAGGTATTATTTGCACCTGTCTTCGCTCACTCAAATTATGTTTGTGAAACAGGTCCATAATATGTGGTAGTAATAGTTCGTTCCTTTTCATTGCTGTATAGTAGTCCATTAAATAAATATACCACAATTTATTTATCTATTATTCTGTTGATGGATATTGATAATTGTTTCCAGTTTGGGGTTACTCAAGTAATGTATAATATTTTTGTTTCTATCATTTAATACATTAATGTTCATATTTCTGTTGGATATACCTAGTAACAGAAATACTGAGTTAGAGGAGGCATGTGTTTAGTGTTAGTAAATGCCATGAAGTTAATTTTCAACTACACTCTCGCCATCAGTGTCTTTGGATGCTCCATATCCTCATCAATACTTGTTCTCGTCAATATGAGTGATTAAAAATTTTAGCCATCCTGCTGGGTGTGTAGAGGTATCTCATTGTGTTTTGAATTTGAGGTTAACTAATGAGGTTAAGCAAATATATTTATTTGTCACTGGGATATTTGTTCAAATATTTTGTCCTTTTTCTATTGGACTTTCTGTCTTATGGGTTTGTAAGAATTCTCTATATATTTTAAATAAGAAGTTGTTTATAGTATTCCAAATATTTTTATGAGTATATAAATAGGAAGCATCCTGGTTTGAGGGGGCTTCTGAAACTCAGACTCAAAACTATAAACTCTATGTCTATTTTGATCATTAATCTATTCTAAGCTCCTGGCACCCAGTAGGTACTCAGTAAACATATTGAATGAATGATGGATAAGATGGATGAGATTTATCCAGATAATTTGCCATGTGTTGTGTTAATTTCTAGGATCAAACACCAAGAACAGCCGGAGGGAGTAAGCTTCCTTCCAGTCTAGCCAGCTGTGACCTTGGAAAGAGGAAGACACCCAGCCCTTCCCTACCGAAAGAGCAGAAATAACTATAATTTGTGAAGAGACAAGAACACATATAGGGGGTAGAGGTCACCGATGAAAAGATAGAACCAGTAGCAGGTAGCAAGCCAGCTACATGCTTCAGAAGGGGAGACTCACCTGGGGGTGGTGGAGGTAGAGGTGTCAAGGAGACAGTGAGAGTCTCTGAGCATCACAGTAGACCTTTGTATGACAAGCACCTCTGGAGGTCTTTGTAGGTCTCTCTACTTCATGATGTGCCCACTTCAAAGCTTGTTAGCTGCTCTTGATCTTTCACCTTAGGAATTAGCCCAGAATACAACAAACTTCCTGGAGAACCTTTACATTTACTTTCCTTTCTGAAGACGTTCACTTGAGACTTTTGTTGTTCCTCTAAGAAGAGGAATTCCTATTCCTCTCTTAGATCTGCTTTTAACTTCCTATGGCCTATACTATTCATTCTGAAGATGGAAGACCACTGGGGTCACTGCCAGCCCCCCCATGTTCTAGGAAGACTGTTGGATGCTACTGCTCTTTTCTGTAACTTTTTTCCCCCTCACAATTGTCCGCTCCTTCCCTGACATGATAGCAGGTGAGGCCAGAAGTTTTTTGAATCTTATTACCTTAGGTGAACATTCTCTGTGATAGCATCCTCACAGACTCACAGCACACCTCCCCCAGATCCTCCAGAAGGAAATAATCTGGGCCTTCCCTCCTGGCACAACAGGTTAAATCACAACACTATGAAGCTAGCTGCAGCTGTTTCAGCACAAGTTTGATCCCTGGCCAGGGAGCTGACCCACCTGGCGCAGACCTCTCCTCTCCCGTCCACTTCTCCCCTCAGCAGTGTACTTCATCAATCTGCCTGGTCTGCTTCCTACTCTGTCTCTGGTGAATCTGCTCCCTTCTCCGCACCTCTGGCCTATACCCCAGTTCTGTATGCATAAATAAATAAAAATAAATCTTAAAAAAGAAGAAGGATATAATTCAGAATTTTCTAGATAGTTCTAGAATTTTCTATAAAATATAACTTGGGTAGTTCTGCTGGAAGAAAGCTAGATGACAAGTCATGTTATGGAAGGCACTTGTATGTAGCAAGCATGTTTTTACTTAGCATGTGAGACCTTTGGTGGGGGTGAAGGATTCTGGGGGGGTGCATTTCACACTGCCAGGGACACAGCAATGGAGGAGATGGGATACCTGGATATTCATTCTAAAACATCATAAAATTCCAGAGCCCTATAAATCCTAGATCCTTTACCAGTGGGATAAAGTCACAAGATCAGTCTGCTATGACTGGAAACTTTTTTGTCTTTTGTTTCTGCTGGGGAAGGGTGCCCCCCTCCCATTTTTTCCCCTTGTGTCACCCCTCCCTGCTATCTCCCTCTCAGAGGTCAACTTCTTTCCTGCTGCCCAGAGCTGAGGTGATATCCCCTTCCGGCTGTATTCAGCTCCAGGAGGATGTGGCCACAGGGACGGGATGGGGAAGAGTGGCCATCTGTGCTCAGCCTGCTTGTTCTCACCGTCCCTTTTGCTTCTGACTGAGCTCCCTTTCCCTGAGACTAAGATGCTACCCCCTCACCCCCGTGATGGCTTTAGGCTACATGGCTTCAGGTATTTTGAAGCATGTAGTTTTGAAATTACTGAGGTGGGATAGGTGGGATGCCTTAGCAGTGAGCAAAACTGTCTGGCGAACTCTATGAAGGGAGACGTCATCTCTACTTTGGAGTAGAATGCGCCATAGTTTTGTAACCCAGGCATGGCCACATATTAGGTATGTGACTTAGGCAAGCTCCTTAATGTCTCTGAACCACACTTATAAAGTAAAGTATTCCCTTTCACAGAAGTGCTGTGAGGATCAGTGATAATACAGCATTTGGAACATTTCCTGTACAAGGTAATGATGGTATGATTTCACCAAAGAGAAAGAAACATAAACAAGGATTAGGCCTTTGAAAGG